CGAAATTTCTTTTTATATTCTCTCTCTATAACGAACAAAGACAGAAAAATTACATATACGGATGGAAGGTTCGTTATAGAGGATGAACTGTATGCTTTTTTGCGTAAAGGAATTTTGTAAAAATTTTTAATGCCAGAGAAATAAATTTTGCACAATTTGGATAGTCGTGTATTAAATAAATTGATGCAATTAAAAGATTGATAACATCACAAATATCACCCTTTGAATTTCATATTAATATTGCATTTCAGATTTTTTTTCTACTTCCTATACTGGTAAAAGAAATCAATAAAATCATTGAATACATTACATTGTTAGTGATAATGGTGCCAACTAAACGTAAACACATTATTAATTTGTTAATATATTTTTAGAAATATGGAAACATAATATCTTCTATCTTTTGTGTGTTAATTATATATTTTTTTTTAGAAATATGGAAACATAATATCTTCTGTATATTATAATAAAAATACACATTTACATATTTTACGAGGAATATAGGATCATTAAAATATCAATGAACCAAGTGATGTATATCGAGCAAATATGCTCGGGTGATAACTTTAAAAGGATGCCAATTAGAAGGAAGGTGGAAAGAAATTTCAATGAAAAAAAAAGAAAAGTTCAGGATGTTTTATTTAATCCAACTCTGAAGAATAAAACAAACCATCACTGTTTTCCCAATTTCTTTCTGGCTTCAGCTTAAAAATTAAAAAAAACCTTGTTGATTAAAAGAAAATTCTTACAAATAAATAAACAACAATTACTAATAATGAAGTTTCAAACAATTTCAACGTATACCTATATAAATCAATAAATCAATAAATCAATAAATAAATCGATAAATAAATAATGCGCAATCTCAAAAAAACATCACACTTACAATTTATTGTCATTGTCATCGTTAGGTCTAGTACAATAATCCTTTTCAATATTAGATGAAACAACGCCAATATTTTCACATTCAAGTATCTTGTAATGCTCTTCTTTCAGCTCTTCAATGATTTTGCCTTTACTTGTTACACGTAAGACTTCTAATTCTTGCTTCTTTTCTTTGCCTGATAATAATTGTTCAATAAATTCAGCTGTTCGTTTAACGGCCATATTTGGTGATGAATGGAGGTTCAGTAATAGCTATTTGAAATATTATTGTTATTTTTGTTGTTATTACCACTATTATTTTGCATAATTAATTAAAATTTTGTGAAAATTACATGGAAGACATGAGGCATTTCTTCATAAACTTCAAGAACAACTTTTGTAGGTGTTTTATAAGGCGAATTTTTAAATTTTTCAGCATTGTAATGGGGCAAATTGTATTTTTCTGGATTAGCAGCTTTATAAGCAAAATAGATATTCTCATCTCTTAATATTTCTCCATCACCTGTTTGCTATACAACAAAAAATTATTTGTTATCGCTGCAAGATTTATCATGTAAATGTTCAATTTTTTCAAAAAAAAATTATATTTACCACTAATATTGGTGGCAAACCACCTAAACTTTCGGCAATTAATGGAGAAACATACGGAATTGCTATTCCTTCATTAGACACATAAAATTGTAAACGACCATCATGTTCAAATGATTTATGCCAAAATTTTGGTTTATTGTCAACATTTAATTGGATTTTTTCTGATAATTCTTTTGCCTTTTGTTCAAATTCTTCCCACCACGGAGGAGATATTGTTTTATGAATAGTATCAGTTGACAGTATATCTGTTTCATTAAGTCTTGGATCTTTTATTGATGGCATCGTGTGAGCTAAATCAACCCATGGTGACCACACAACAGCTCCAGCTGGAATAGGCAATGAGTTTTTTGAGTCACGTATAGCAAGTAATGTTGCAATTGTTAGACCACCACCTGCACTATCACCCATAATTATAATATTTTTAGGTTCAATTGGTAGAAAATCCGCATCTTTTGGTGGATCAATAAGATA